CGGCAAGCCAGCCAGATTACAAAGATGCAGGGGGGAAAGGACCGCATTTACGGAGAGAGGAAAAACTAATTTTTCAAGGAAAATCGAGAACCGTGGGTCAGATAAGAGTGTGAACAGGATTGCCCTCTTGGAGGTGAGCTGTGCCCCCAAAGTTTCATTCAGCCATTCATTTACATCAGGGAGCAGCCATGAATGTGCCATTCGGTTCAGAATTTATTATGAATGTACAGTAAAGGCACATTCAAAACCAAGGTACCTCGCCCAGGATTCTTTTTGTGAAAGGAATATAAAATACGCCTGCACGTTTGAGTCTAAAAATATAAAAAATAAAAAATCCAAAGCTACACTGTTAACCCTTTAGCCCACAGATTTATTTTTTATTGTGATGAGGCAATGGAGGGAAATTGGCCATTTTAAAATATAAATAGCATTACAAATTTACCACATGTAAGAAGATATATAATCAAAGGGAGTGATAATAGTTCAAGAGCACAATAAGTCAATAAAATCTCACTTGTCAAGAAGCTGGCATCAGCGTTTTTGAACATAGAAGAAAAGCAGAAAGAAACCCCAAAGGCAGCTCAGCAACAAAATAGAAACTGCCAGCCCAGCCCAGGAGCACCGGGCCCCTCCCTCCCAGGACAGCCCTGTGGGCCTCATGGGGGTGTTCCTGCTTATTTTAGACACTGTCCCTGAAGCCTGACTTTATCAATCTGTGATAATACAGAGATGGATGATAGATGAAATTTTCATAGTCTGGCAACATAGAAGAAAACAGAAAAAAAAGGAAAGCGTTATAAAATCATCCTTAAAACTAAGAAAGCCAGTCAGCTTGGGTCATTTATGGAAGGCTTTCCAGAATATTACAGTATTTCTTTTTTTAATCTAGTAATTTAAAAATGTATTGGTTTTCTATTGCTGCTATAACCACAAAATCAGTGGTTTAAAATAACACAAATGTATTACTTCCCAGTGCTGTAGGTCAGAAGTCCAATGTGAGTCACATGGGATAAAGTCCAGGGGTGGGCAGAGCTGCATTCCTTCTGGAGGCCCTGGGGAGAACTCTTCTTTTGGCCTTTTCCCACTTCTAGAGGCTGCCCTTGCGTGCATTCCCAAGAATGGGCCATGAACTGGGCGCTGGGAAGGGTGGCTTTGCCCCCTAGAAGGTTTCATTCTAGCAAGACAGGTGGAAAACCTAAAATCAGCATTATAATTTAGTACAATGCTGTGCCAATGTTTTAATGTGTGTGAGATTCAAAACTATCCAGAGGAAAGTGCTCTGAGCTTGGCCTGAGGATATTGGAGGTAACTTCAGCGAGTTTTTTGAGGGATTGCTAGGATCTTCCAGGTAGAGAAGAAAAGACTTCAGGAGGAGACACTGTGTGGGGAGCAGCTCCAGGCTGAGCCAGCTCAGCATTTCCCAGAATCCTGTGTAGACTGTTGGGTTGGCAGGAATGTTGGGAGTTCGGGCAGCTAAAAGGGCCTTTGGCAAGTTTCAAGGATATTGCATAGCTCCCATAGGTGGCCAGAGGGAAGGTGAGGGCTGGGTTATGAATGTGTGTTAGTACTGAACACTTCAATGGAGATGCTGGTCCTGAGGAGCAGTCAAGGCTGGAAGTTGAAACTTGAAGGTGACATTGAGCTCTTCAGTGACTAGTGTAAACTTAGGAAGGAAAACCAACAAGAAGGGATCTGAGGAAACACCAGATTTCAGGTGGGAGTTGAGAAAACAAGATCAGGATTGGGAGGATATACATGGAAACCTGGTTTGATGGAAGTCATGTGTCCTATTCCATTTGTACTGCCATAACAAAACTCTGTAGACTGGGCAGCTTTAACAACAAATATCTATTTCTCACAGTTCTGGAGGCTGAAAGTACATGATCAAGGCTCCAGCAGATTGATGTCTAGTGTGAACCCACTTCCTGGTTTATAGATGCTGTCTTCTTCTTGTGTTCTCACATGGCAGGTGGGGCAAGGAAGCTCTCTGAGGTCTCTTTTATAAGGTACTAATTCTAATCATAAGGGCTCCACTTTCATAACTTACCCACCTTCCAAAGTCTCATCTCCAAATGGGGTTAGATTTCAGCATATGCGTTTTGGAGCAACACAAACATTGGCAATCATACTACTTTGAGCATCTCCATGTGCCAAGCAATGTTATCTCCTTTAGATCCCATGATCTGTGATATAGAGTTTATATCCCACTCTGCACAGAAAGAAACCAAGGATCAGAAGGATTACAAAACATGCTAGGGCCACCCAGGGTTAGGAGCTGGCCAGGCCCTCTGAGTCACAGCCTCACCTGATTCAGATGGCTTAATTGCATGCTGAGAATCACAATTGTACATATTAATTACCCATCACTGGGCACTTCACAAAGAGAATGGGAAGGGAGAAGTCACAGGATGGTGCTAACTGAATGAAAAATGAGAAAATGAATGAAAAATCATACTTTCCACAAGTGGAAATTCCAACTAAAACTTTAGAGAGGGAGCTGCCAGGGGGAGCTGTAGTTTTGGAGGAATAAAATTAAGGACTGAGGTAGAAGCCATAGACTGAATGAAATGAAAGGGAAGTAGAGAGCAATATTCTACAAGTACAGCAGAGAGTAAGGAGTGAGTGATGGAAGAGTTAGGGGTGTGTTTAGAGCAAGAGTGTAGAATAGAATGGGAGAAATAGAGATGCAGGAAGAAGGGAGAGTCAGGTATGGGTGGAGCAGCACCCTAGAGCAGATGGTGGGGAGAGGGAGGAATTGGGGAACAGGTCATTTGGAGTTGAGTATGAAATAGGTGGTTCCAAGGAAGGGAACTTAATGAGGTGGGTTAAGGGAGTCCAAGAATGGTGACACACAAGGCAATCCTAAGAGTCAGAAGCCATTTCACCTTTAAAGAAGGAACAGGAAAGCAACTGAATCTCTGGAGCCAGTGGAATTCCAACTAAAACTTTGGAGAGGGAGCTGCCAGGGGGAGCTGTAGTTTTGGAGGAATAAAATTAAGGACTGAGGTAGAAGCCATAGTGGGGAGAGAATGGGGAAGAAATACCCCAGCCTCTCTCTCCCTACTCTCTGATCTCCTGTTGGTGTTTTCCACTGGCCAAATGCACAGGTAGCCAGCAGTCCAGGTAGCCTGGTGATGGATGGGGAACTGGGGGGCAACCTCTCAGGTACAGAGCAGGCTGGGCAGGGTGAAAGGAGGTGTACCAGAGCCAGCACAGCAAGTGTGTCTGCAGATAAAACTGTGGCCACAGTAAGAAACCAAAAGATTTTTTTAAATTAAATGTATTGGGGCAACAGAAGCCAAAAAATTTTTATGCCTGACTTGTATGTTATACCCAATTTTCTCTGTAACATAAAAGGCAAGACTGTACTTAAAAAGTTAGAGATTCTATTTAAGTAAGGAATTTGAGTTGAGGGTGAACATTTAGAATGACTGCCTAGGGGAACAGAGGACACTCCTGACAAGTGAAGAGGAGTGAAAGTATCTCTGCACAGCATTATGAACCTACCACGACTCTGTGATGTCCCTGAGGGTAGAGGTGTGATTCTCTCTAAAAAGTGTCCATCTGCCTATGTATAAACTGGAATAAAGTAAATTGTTAGGTATGGAGCTCATTAAAAGATGCAGGCAGGGGAAGGAGAGGAGAGAGCAGGCTATGACAGGAGCGGGTGATGGGCTATGAGTAGAGGAAAGACAGAGATGGAAATGGCCACTGAAAGGGGATAAAAAGTAGGACAGCAGTCTTGAGGTCCTGAGAAGCTGGCAGCCTGAATCCTCAGGGATGCACATCTGAGGAAAGTGGACAAGTGGACTGGAGCAGAAGGTCCCTGATGTTGCCTCTGAGGCATAGGTGGGGAGGGAAAGCAATCTCACCAGAGGGCTGAGGAGAGATTGGGGTCATTCTGGAAGGAGGTTGGAAATGGAACGGAGCTCATTCCTCAGGACGATATAAGAAGGGGTGGGATGGGCAGGCACTTGGGGAAGATGGCATGAGAACACAGAATGTTTGGAAGGGAAGAAATGTGAGCCACACATGAAGCTGACAATTGAGAGAGAGAGAGTGGGCACCAGATCTGAGGGAGGGTCCTAAGACCCAGGTGGCAGACATTCTCTCTGCAGAGACCCTCATGTGTCCAACACCCATTCCTAGCTGTAGAAATGTCTGTGCTCTAACAGGATGCCCATGTGAGCAATGAGACAGACCTTGTACCGTGTCCTCAAAAACTCCTCACTGGGCCAGGCCCCATGCTGAGCTCTTCATGTAGGCCCATCCAATTCTCACAACTCTATCCTGCAGGTCCTATTCTTACTCCACTTTACAGATCAGGACACCAGGATGGGACAGTTTAAATGACTTTCCAAAGTGACCTGGCTAGCAGAGCAAGGATTCACACCACAGCCAGCCTGACTCCAGCTCCCCACAAAAACAAATAATATAAATGGGAGCTCCTAATTCTAGCCCTTCCATTGATAACACAACTACTACTGCTTCACATCTTTGCCATGGAGACCAGAAGGCAGGCTCGGCATGGGGAAGACCAGGAGGGCATCACCTGCTGTGCACACAGAAAGGGAACAAAGTGACCTCTGGGCAAGTCATCAGTGTGTTGGCCTCAGTGGGGAAGATGGAGAAGAAAGGGAAAAGTTTTAAAGCACTCTGACAACAGACACACTAGAAGGAGACAGTACTAGGAAAAACAGTTCTCATTTCAAAAAGAGAATCTCCAGGTGACAAGTCTCAGAAAAGGGAAGAGAACTATAAGGCATTATACTCTAAGGAATTAGCTGGGAGTCTATGCATGCTGAAATAGTTGTTCAATTAAAATGGGTAAGAATT